AAGAGATTGGCCCATGAACTTGCATGAAAATAGATAGCACAAGAATTTTGTCGCATTGAAGGTCGAAGAAAAATTGCAATATTCAATATACAACCAATCATACCAATAGCAAATAGAAGTGGTTGACCAATGTATTGTACTCCTATTCGAGCAGCATTAAGTCTTGCAACATCTGGATTGATAGTAGTTGTCGATATGTTATTCATTCTTTATTATTTTGTAAAATAAAACTAGTACTCAGTTAAATGCATTTCTACTTCGTAGTTTGAAGGTAAACAGATACGGAAAAAATTTAGACGTCATATGGTGCGTAAATGTCTTTGACATGTTAATTAAGAAACATGGCAAGGTGATAAAGTTTATCGAAACTGAATATAATCTATTAATGATATATGTCATCTCAATGTTGTATACTTGCAGATGACAGATTCAGATCATCTCCTAAACTATTTTGAAACATGCACGGCAATTAACACAATACTAGGGCTCTATATTGTTCAAACAATCAATAAGATTAATCAAATAAGAGGGTACGGGTATCTGAAAACTGAAGAGTGATACTCACGATCGCATTCTTTAATAATTTTGTAACCTTTTTATTAATTTTTGTTTTAACCATTGTTGTTAGATCTTTTTTTCACTTGTTCATAAAATTTTATGTCATTTAATTTTTCTATCTTTATCAACTTGAACAATAATAATATCTGTAATTGATTTTATTTCTTCTTTGTTCATATTACATTTATTAGATTTTCTCTATTTTTGAATAAATTTTTGATATTTCTAATATAGCTGCATTTTTAATTAATGTTGATGTTGAATATAATGATTTCTCAGCATTCACAAACATTGATTGTTCTTAGTTTTGAAACATATTTCAATTCTTTTAATAATATATGTAAATGTTCTTGACTTAATTGAATTTTTGACATATCAATAACATTTCATGTATTAGATATTGTTTTTTGAAGTCATTTTTTTCTGTTGTTCCTGATGTTGTGGGTATGAGTCTTCATTTCTTCCATATACACCCGCATCTATATCCTTTCTCGTCCTGCTACATGCATACGGGACATAGAATCAAAGTTGAAATATTTCTTATCTCAAATATTTTCACACACATAACTCTTGAGATTTTTTTTTTTGATCATGAAAAAGAAAACACGAAAATCGCAATACAAACAAAGTGCAGAACAAGATCTAATGGAATAATTCATTTGTCGTTCATCGATTTACTTATGAGAGATCATTTACGCTGTATCATCAAATAAATTAGATACTACTTATTAAAAATTCATTAATTTCTTGTCCATTGTATCAAATTATGATAGCCAAAATCATTATCTTCTCGTTGATTTTTCTGTCTCTATTCTGACTGAATTGTTCAGACACGAGATCTGCACGGGAGCATCACGAGTTGTATAAATCCTGAAAGTTACCTTGAATATGTACAGTGATACGAATCCTATTAGCATTATTTGTGATTTTAATTTTATATTCTCCGTAAGTCCATTAAAATGATATATGCATTGATTGAAGACATCTTTCGACTAATTAAACTAAACATGCCAAGAAAAACTATCATTAGTTATAAATGAAAGGTTAGACACATACGATTTCTAAGAACAAGACTAGACAAACACAAATCTCATATCTCTTTTCCTAACGACCATTTCTATCGAATGATAAAACGTTATCACACATTAAAGTAATAACTTTAGCAACAAAAAAAAATATGGAAATTGTCACATATATAAGCATTATGTTTCAGTATATTTTCTCTAGTATTACAGAAATAGAATAGATTGTATCTTTAATTTGCTTCAAATCTAAAACCGACGTCTTGAAATTACAGACCAAGAAAAGTACATTCTGTAAAAATGCTACTCCCTGCTAGAACTGTCCAGAAGAGAATGAAAGAAAAGAAAATTAAAGTAAAGCAAGATGTGGACCTGTTTTATGGTACTTTACTTCTTCTCATTTTCAAATAATATCTATTGCAAGGAGGAAAAAACTCATTCCGAGAATGGATGTAGATATTTTTAAAATGAATAGTAATAACTCAAGATGAATTTGCGTCCTGAAATAATCGAGAATATACAAGAACGTTTCAGTGCGTTGGCAACATGCAACAACGATCTGGTGTTTTTGGTAAAACGTAAATTCGTTTTTTCCTTTTTCATCTTTTTATTCTCATAATATGTTTCCGTAAATAAAAACTAAATATACCGAAAGATGTAGCGTGAAAAACTCTACAATCTAGATAAGCGATAAAAAGATGAAATAAGAAAAAAGAAATTTCTCATTCGTGTTATCTTTTCACAGTGTCTCGAAATTTGATCGTTCAAAATTTTGTCCATTCTGGAAGTAAAACATGTAACTATTTAAAAAGAAGCGGTTTTGTATAAATTATAGAGCTTTTCATGCTGTATTTTGTTTTCTTAGTACACCTTATTAAAGGACTGAAAACTGATATACAAAACACGACCATCCAATGCGTTATGTAATTATATTAGAAATTGCATGTACCTATTATAAAAGAAATGATAGACTACAACAAAGTACAAGACTTAGAAGTCTGAAATTAATTCTAAATGCGTCTAGACATTATAGCAGTATACTTAGCTCTTAGTCAAGTCTTTTAAGAGGACTGCCCGAAAAATCCTTCTGAGTGAACCTTGTATTATCTGATTAAAAATAAAAATTGCAATTTATTCAATAATTTCAAAATATCTATTTAACGGGTGATGCAAAAATGTCACTTTATTTTTCCTTGGCTAAAACAAGTTGAAGAGAAATCGAAAATATCTATTAGGAATCTGCATCAAAAACACTTTCTAACTGTATTATCAAAAAAGTTTTAACATGTATTGGGTTCGAGTAAAAAAACACATCTTTAAACACTACCAAAATATACGCTGGAAAAACATCTCAATGTAACGGGTGTCCCAGGGAAAATGGGCCTCTCAGTATTTTAATGATATATCCATTAATTCTCATTTATTCAGACTTAATTTTTTTTTAAAAGATTCGTCTTGAAATGCTCTACAAAATGGTGTATTTTTTATTTATTTAAATAACATCCATCTTTTTCTAATACACGGTTCAAACGACTAGTCCAAGATGAACAACTTTTTAAAACAACATCTTGTCGTATTTTTTTGACTGCACGTTTCAATTCTTCGATAAGCGCGTCTTTCGATGTTATTTTGTTCCAGTTTATAAATTGTGTAAATTCATCCCAAATGGAATAGTCCAATGGATTTAAATCTGGACTATTCGGTGGCTAATGATCTTTATCTATGAACGATGGAAAGTTGTCCATGCACCATTTTTGTGTTAGGTGATGAACGTGAGGTTTCGCACCGTCTTGTTGAAATATCCAATGTTCTCCAAAGGTCTCGTTTCCGTATTTTAATGCTATTGGTAGAACATTCCGAATATATACAGCATGGTCCACTGTTCCTTGGTCAAAAATGACCAAGGGTGCCACTCCTTCGGAGCAAACACCCAACCAGACCATGACCTTTTTAGAAAAATTTTGTTTCATTTTAATGCCACCTCTTTCATTTGCTTCAGCACGACTGGCCGCCCAAATACGTTGATTTTGGGAATTGTATACGCCGTCGACATCAAACATTTTTTCATCGGAAAATAAAATTCGCATCGTGTCTTCTTTTCGAAAATTATTAAAAATCCATTTTGCGAATTTTTTTCGTTTGTATTTGTGTTCGTTGGTGAGTTTTGGTTCAATTATTATCTTGTAGGCATAGAGTTTCAGATCTTCTTTCAATATTCGGTGTGCACTTGATTTGGATATTCCATAGTCTTTAGCTAAACTTCGAACGGATACCATCTTTTTTCGATCGAGTTTGTGTTTGACCTTTTGGATCATTTTGCTGATTCGAGCAAGACGTTGGCCACCCGGAGGTTTTAACAGGTGGATAGAACCGGTGTCACGAATCATCTTGCACCACCTTTTTATAGTATTTAATCCCAAACACCCATTTAAATCACGGAAGATTTTTGTTGGACCATCACCATTTTCATATTTAGAAAAAACTAATTTTTGAATATCTTTACTTTTCATCTTATTACAAAGGCAAAATACGTTCAAATGAAATACGAGATATAGATTCTTGTAGAGGATAACAAGACGAATCTTCAAAAAAAAAATTCGGTCCGAACGAATAAGAACTAATAGAGATGCCAGTAAAATACGGAGAGGCCCATTTTCCCTGGGACACCCGTTAGTTGTGAGAGAAAGGAACTGTTCTCTCATTATTTTTTGATTTTCTCGCATGTACTCCATTGTATTTTTCTGCTCTTTATTTCGTTAAATTTGCTGTTTAATTCTCTACGAACTTGATAGAAAACCGTACGACATTGCTTTGGATAACACGAAAAAAGGCAACTGAAAACAACACACTAAAACCGAATGTGAAACTGATAAGATTTTTTCGAGATCCAAGTGTCACCATTGCTATTCAACACAGATACAATGTTGATTCAGGATATTCGAGCTACAAGTATACCCCAGCTCTTATGTTGCCAATTCACAGAAATGGCAAAAGCGAGCACTGGCCAATACAAAATGGACATCAACCTGAAAATAATGAGAACTTCGAAGTTGTTTTTATTTGGCAATGTTGTTTCAAAAATTTCAATCGTATTCGTTATATTGATTCCTGAAAATAGAACATATATTCTAATAGATAGAAGAGCACAACATTGTGATAAAATGAGCCGAAGGATATCACAAAATACAGAGGAATTGATCGTTTTGAACTGTTTTTCTTTTACAGTGTACATTTTAGTAGTGTTTGTTACTCCAAGTCGATACATGGTACAACTTTTTTGATTATACAGTTAGCAACCACTTTCGACGTAGATTCTTAAATAGGTATTTCCGATTTCTTCCAAACATGTTTAGCCAAGGAACAATGAAGCGACATTTTTGCATAACCCGTTATTAAATAGATGATTTGAGATAAATCAAATCAACAAATAATTTATCTAATTTTTATTTATTCCTATGAAATATTTTAATCTAATTGAATCGATTTTATCTTCATAATAATATATCAAAGTAAACATTTTAAAAACATAATATAAGATATGAGGAAACGAAAAAATAATAAATATGAAATTGAATTTCACATATTTTCATATTTCATTTGAATTTTTTCAATTGTTAATTTATTTAATGGTTTTAATTGTTCTTTTGAATCATCAATTTCTAACCATCCATAAATTTCATATTCATCTTCAATATAATAAAGACCATTTTTATATACAAATGGAATTTCTCGAGCATAATTATCTTTCCAATAAGTAAAATAAAAATTTTGTTCAGCAATTCTAATAGAATTTTTTAAAACATCAACAATAACAGAAATATGACCATAAGGCATATCTTTTTGTATTGGATAAATTAAATATGTTTCATTTATTGGTGGATTTGGTGAACCATTGAAATGTTTTTTTAATGGAAATTTTTCTTTATCAATAATTCTTTCAATATATTTTATTTGATTCCATATATCATTAGCACCTACAACACTTTCAAATATTGAACTTTTACGAAAAAAAGTCCATCGACGTGCATATTCAACACATTGCCATTTTAATCCCATATATATTCCATATATATAATGATTTTCATTTGAATAATATGTATCATTACCATTTGAATAAGCAATTACATTTGATGAAGCTACACCAACTATAGAATTATATGGAACAAGTTTATTTTTATTTGATGATTGTCTTTCTATTTATACAGAAAAAAAAAGAAAATAAAAATTATAAAAATAAGAATGAAATAACCTTTAACTAATTGTAAATATGATAATTTTATTGAATATTCATTTGATTGTGATAATTTAACTACATGAGAATATTTATAAAAAATAACTAAGAGAATTATCGAAAATATCAATTTCATAATAAAATATTTTCGAACCATTAAAAATTAGTTTTTTATAAATAATAATAATAATGACATCAGATCGAAATTTATTGCTTTTAAAATTCTGTTGGCTTCCTTTTTTATACGAATAGGAATTAAAGAAAAGAAAAAAAAACTAATGCCGATAGAAAGCGCTACAATTCATCTTCATTTTTAAATCATAGGCATTTATTGGAAGTTTTATTTCATTACAATACGCTTTTATTCACATAGAGTTTCATCTCTTCTTTTTCGAAAATTGATCTCAGCTCAGGAACATTCAAATTGCAGGAAACTTTCAGAATATGTTAGGACTGGTGAGCGATGGCTATGGTAAAATTTTCAGCCCTATATTACGATGTTTGACAGAGATATTCACCAAACAAATGTCAAAAAATAGCTCAATCGTATCTCCAAGATTTCTCTGTGAGCCTTTATTTTATACATGTAATTTTTTTTTGTTTGAAAGCTTGTGTCTACGGCTAGTCCCTCTCGTGGCCCTTTTTTTTTTAAACTCTTACTTTTTAAGCGAAGAAAAGGGATGACAAGTAGTGACGGAGCCAGGATTTTGGGCTGTGGGAGACTCCACCCCTTCTAAGGCACCTCTGAGCCCCGGTTTTCGAATAAAATACATGGTTTTAAAATTTTCCTGGGGGGGAGGGCTGAGCCCCCCTGGCTTCACCACCAATGACAAGTTTAATGACTCGAAAAACCCCTAAAAAATGGCGCTATTTTTATAGAAGTGTTTTCTTATATGATAATAAAAAGGCTTATTTTTAAAAAAAAGGATCAAGAGAGGAGCTAGCCATAGACACAAGCTTTCAAACAAAAAAATAAATATTTGACTTTAGCTATGATAGAGTTCTGCTGGCACTACGTCATTGAACCAACGTTCTGAGAAAAACGAAAAATGATTTTCGATTTTTTGTAAAAACGCCTTATTTTTCGAATAGAGGTGACGAAAATCTTCCAAAATTTTTGGAAAGAAAGAGATACTGAGTAAAATTTTTTGTCATTTATGAAAGAGCAGATGATGACGAACTATTTCTCCATGAATTTATCTCAATTTCGATCATTTTGAGGAAAAGTGACTTTTTTGAGGGAAGACCTTAAATAAAAAAAGATAAATCATGGTAATGCACTCATCCAAAACGATTCCTTGCATCAGACTGATTCAAGACAGTCTACAATTATCGAAACATTTTAATTTGTGCTTCTAGCTAAGATATTTTCTTTCGAAGTTTCTCCCTAGAAAGAATTATCAACAAAATTGAAGGTGTACAACACACGTTCATGAGTGTTATAGTTTTTCTTTTCTTCCTTTTTATTTATCTTTTAAGTTGCCAGAAATATTGATTTCTTAATATTTGTTCGTATTTTGATTAGTTGCTTTGAAGTGATAGGTTCTTTTTTGAATGTTTGTTTTAAATATTATGTTTTATATATGTGAATAATGATGATATACTATAATTGCATTCACCATGGTGAAAATATTTTATTTATCTTCGAATAAATATTATTCATAATAAATACTTGTTAAATTAGATAACCATGATGACATTTATATGATATTAACTTCATCACGTATTAAAAATTCACTATAAACTACGTGCCAACCAATGGTACGTGTATGAGATTGTAGTTTACAATAATCTTCTTAAAAAAAAAAATAATTTTCTATGTTAGAAAAAAAACTAATATTTTCTTCGATGTCTCAATTAACTATCGATTCTTGCTTCTTTTTTTTTCAAATCAAATTCTTTCTTAATCGATTTATTCGTCTTAGAGAATCTATTTGATCTGAATAAACATAACTATTTTCGTTTATTAGTTTATTTACTGATAAAAAGAAAGTATGTTTCGAACATGTACAATACTTTCAAACATTCTTGTCTAAAAATAGATTTCTGACATATTATTGTCGTTTGAATTATGATATAAAGAAAACGAATAAACAGATTTTCATATATTAAAAACGAAAATAATTGAATATCTCTCTCATATCTTTTGAATAAAACTAGTCATTTAATAGGAACTTTAGTGATCTGCATATTACTGAATCCATAATTGAATATTTGTTTTACAAAGAGGTTCTAGACGAATAGACAACGTAGATGACAAATGATTTTGTAACCAGAGGAGATCATTCTTGATCGTATTCGATGATACTTCATCATAATTTGACTCCAATTGTTGAAGTGAAATAATCGAACATGTTAAAGCTCGAAGATTTGACATTGTATTGATAAGATCAAAAATATTTTCTTGAACTGAGACTTTTATTAAAAGAACTTCACATTGATGTCCTAATGGCGAATTGGCTAATAAAGAAAGTTCTGTATTCTCAAGATATTCCCAATCGGAACTATGTATTAAATCAAGGCGACCAATTGATCTACTAGTAATTTTTGATTGTAACAAATGTAAAACAAAACTTTTATTGATTCTCAACGAATAAAGTCGAGGCATTCGATCCAGTAAGATTCGTACTTGAGATTCAATAGTATAATTTTGTGGACTAGAATACTTTAGTTCTATAGCCAATGAAGTTAGATGATGGAGTGTCGGAAAAGAGGACCAAATATTACGATCGTTAGTCAAACATATAATTAGAGAATGAATATTATTAAAATATATCGATAGTAAGAAGCTAGACATAAGTACAAGTTCATGTACATAATCATAGAACAAATAGAGATGATCGTTCGAACAAGTTGATTTGTACTAAGTATCGAGTTCTAGATGAGTTAATCTATTAGAACAATATGGTATTGTATATAAATGAATATTTTCATCTCGATTATTTTGATTACAATCACATTGAACATACCAATGATGTTCATTAAGACAAAATGGTGTTCGATATGTGTTAAATATTTCTTCAACTTGTTGGACTATGTTTCCATTATTCGGCAAATAATCTGCCATATTAAATTGAAATATTTTGATTTTCGATAAATAATTCTTAATAGTTTCTTTCCATTGATATTCATTAAAGTAAAAATTCCCAGATTCAACAGTTAAATAACGTAATTACGTTATTGAAAGTACTCACCTAGAGAGTACTCAAAAAGTACTCACGCTAGAAAATGCCGCGAGTACTCATGAGTACCCGGGACTTTTGAGTACTCGTCGGTCGTACTCACGATGAGTTTCGAGTATATAAGTACTACACATCCTTACTTTTATGGCAGTGTATTCTAGTCGAGTACTATGACCGTTCATTTCTTATAGTTAGTAGCAACTAGACCATTTAAAGTCCCGGTTTGTTGCCCTTTGAGAAGCTTCGTAGACTCTGGAAAAGTCCGCTTCTCTGCAACGCCACAGTCACAGAAGGAAATTATCTTGTTAAAATTGTGAACTTATCGTCCATAGAAAGTCAGCGCACGACATCTTTTTCGTCCTATCACATTCCATCCTGTATATTGAGTCTTTTCAGAAAAAAAGACGACGAGTACTACAATGAGTACTCAGGGTCTTGCCTATAAGTAGATGTGTAATGAAAGATTCGTATGAGTACGTATGTGAGTACTCGGTCATTTTACATACTCATGAATTTTTGAGAGTACTTGCTCGAGTAATTTGAGTACTCATGCTGGCAAGTCGTACTCTCTGGATGAGTACATTCACTAGGGAAATTCGGCGTTTTTTTTCAACAATTCAATCATTCCAAATGCTGAAGAATGAAGAAAAATATTCAATTTTGTTTTTGATAAAGCAATATTTGTTAATGATCGAACATTAATTTCGCAAAAAAGTTGCATGTAGATGTCGAAGTTTAGGGGTATGTTTGAATAATTTCGATAGATCATTTGACTGAAAATAAATTGATTTTGCTAAAACAAATTTGATCGATGATGAAACTATTACTAATTCAATAAATGCTCTATCACAAATATCGACAAGATCTATTTCAAAATGTTGAAGTTTAGGTAAACGCCAAATATGATTTATCAAGGAAACTAAATCATTCATTACTGCAAAATAACATTTATTTAATTTGAAATGAGTAATTGACATTGAATAGAAAGAATTTGTAAAAATAGCATTGATTCGTTTTATATGAGCAATATGAAAGTAAATATAAATTAAAAAATTGGTTTAAATTAGAACCATAGGATAGAAAATTATCGAATAAATTAGGAGTTTCATCATTATCATAAAAGCAAAATGTATTAATTTGTTTAGCAATCAATAATAGATAATTTTTACACAAGAAATCAAAATTAGTTTTAGAGATCGATCGAAAATCTGTATGATAAGATTGAAGAGTAGTCATTTGAGACGAGAATTGAGACCATCAAAGACACGAAACAGATCCGTGATATGGACATATTTGAATAACTCGAGTAACAGCTCATCGGGTAAGGATTCTAAAAACGTCTTTCTTTTTTGAGTTGCCATAGAATAAATAAATAAATAAATTTGTATTGTGTTTGTGTTTTTATAGGACGAACAGAGAAAAACCCTTTTCGTCATCATTTTTTTTTTACTTGACTCATTCATCTCAGCATATGGCAATTGATGTTGAAATTTGGCTTTTTTTCTGTCGTCATAATGAGAAAATTACTTTCGTTCTTTATCTTCCATCACAGCATGTAACGGAATGATGAATAGGAAAAAAAACACTAGGTTTTTATTATTAACACCAATATAGAAATGATACTAGAAAAATTTTCAAAATAATCATCAATATTTTGTTTTTTTTGTCGAAGATCAGATCGATGTTACCATATACTGTTAGGTACTTTATAGTACCTTAAATACTTTAAATTTAAAACACAAAAGTATATTTTCTTCTTAGTATAAAGCCTCTTATCAGACTATCATGCTTTCATCATCTATTGATACTTTACATATTGATAAGATCTATAATATAAAATTAAGTGTAAAATACTTTATCAGTATGTAACAAAGTTCGAAAACGAATCGAACCGAGTTTTTGAAACTCGAGTCGAACAGAACTTGAACTCGAAAATTTCGGTTCATTTTTAAGTCAATGGTGATCATTTTCAAGAATAGTTGTGGATGAAACTATATATAACGCTAATCTTTCGACAACTTCTTATGATTGGAGTGGATTTCATCTTTTATGCAATCATGCCAATATAACAATAACGACTTGTTAATGTAGTACAAGCGATCATTTTTGATCGTCCTTAAATAGAAAGATACGTACGCGATTCCACTGGAAATTTCCAGAGACTCTCCGTAACTGAATTCGTTTTTGTGCTGGTGATTTTTTTTCTTGGAGACTCTAACTCAAGTTGATGTATATGCATTTGAACGTATTTTACATGAAAACAATACAATCGTTTATTAAGTAAAATTTTTGATTTATTATCAGAACAAAATGAAGCAATTCTAATTATTGAATGTTTATTAGATAATGATAAGGCAGGTGTATGCCTGATTCCTATGAATAACATCGAAAGTAAAATAGCAAAGTATATGAATGTCAAAGAAAAACATTGTTCTCTTGTCTCGCCTTCATTTAAACATTTTTACTTTGGACATTTTTAATTTCACTAAATTCCATCTCATCCCATGGCTTACATTGGCCTAGTATTCAAGTATGCTGATACTTATAGGAGGATGAAAACTAATATCTAAAGAATATCAAGCGTATTGATTTGAAACAAATAAGATTTCAACGAATAGGTCAATAGCTTAATGTAATTATTATCTACAGATACATTCTGATCCGATTATAACTTTAGTTACATTGATATTACTCGACAAAAGAAATATCATCATTCTTTTCTTTGTTTTTGTATATTATGCAAATTTTTTTTCGATCTCAGCTCAACAAGACATGTACCATCATTCGATTCAAAGCGTGATGGGTGTGACTATGAGTATAAATGAAGAAAAAACAAACACTTACACTCAAACTCTCAATGATTTCAGCATTAATCGTTGTGGTTATTTCTTCTATTATATTAACATTAGTTTCATTGACAAAACAATAACATACAGTGACACATCTATTTCATCGATATTATATTCTACTTTTGAATGTAATAATTATATTTATTTGTTATTATTTACATGGGATACAAGTAATATATTATGGTCTGAATACTTTGTATATGTCAGTTCTATCTGTTCTATATTTATAACTATTCCAATCAATATGATGATTATATTTTTGCTGTGTTATCTACTAAATTATCGATAGTTAACTTCATTAAAAATACATCTAATTCTAATGTTTATTGAATGATTTTTAGTTATAGGTATTCAAATATGAACATTTACGATAGAAATCATTTACTTTCGAATACCAAAATTAAGTTTGCTACACACTAGTTATACTATACTATTAAACTACTTGTCGGCATTTATATTTCAATATACTATATTCAAATTCATCGTTATACAAATAAAATAGATTAACAGATGAAAGAAAACGAAGATAAAATCATGATCTTGAAATTTTTCATAATATAATGCTTCTATTTGGCATTTACATCCTAGATACAAAGGTCCGTGAATATTTTATATGATAACGAGTATTGAATTATTTTATTCAATTAAAATCATCAGTGTATTGTTATTATTATTATTATTAACTGTAACTATTGAAAAAGTCGTTTCAACTTTACTTGAAAGAGAAATTCAAGATTTTCCTAAGATGTTTGAAAGTCATTCAATAACAAAAATTGCACCAATTATCGTCAATATTGTTGCTATGAATAGGGTGTGAGTGTGTGTGTGATATAAAACCTTCTTTACACCCCTACCCCTAGCCCTACGTACACCCGCATCTACATCCACCCAATAAATAAGGTGAGATGTGTCGGCGAAATCAACTCTGCATGTATTTAATTATTATAATCAAAGCTCACAACTTATTGATCATTCTATGGTTATTGTTTTTTTTTACGATTTATTCGATTGCTGACAAGCAAGAGTTGAGACTATCATATTGAACATGTGTTCTTCGTCAAAGGATGGATTGATCTGTTTGTCAATTGATCCCCGTATCAAAAGAATGAAACTCGTTGATTTGGCTCATTGCAGCAAAAATCAGCATAAAGGAAGATTTGAATAGTAAATGGAGGCGAGAATATTTTATTTCTAGTATTCGTTAGTTTTCAAAGATAAAATTCAAAAAAAAACAAAAAGAATACAAATGTTTTTAAGTAGTCAATAAAATAATGCTTGCATTGTAAATTCAGTCTCTGTTTAATAAGGTAGTCACTACAGCACCTATAACGTTTATAATAAAACCCACAATCGCAACAGCGCCAGCCGGACCAAGTGGATAACCTATGTCCTTCGTGGCATAATCAATACCGACTGCCATTCCGACAAGACCACAAAAAGCGGTTGCCCAAGCGATAGCGATCGAAACATAGGTCCATGGAGCCTCGCAGTGTTTTTGAATGGCCATGTACACCAGAACGATGACAGCAAAAGCAGAAAATAGACAAGCCATCGTCATGAATGCCCTTGCAGCGCGTACTTTCGAACCCGAACACAAAATGCTATTTGAGCTGCATGAATCTGAGATATCAGTACAGACTGAAGAAAAACAATATCTCCACAGGCCGATTGTGACGGAGTAAATACCAGAATCTTGTTGACCCCTAGAATTGTGCAAAAGAGTCTGCAGACGTACACAGCGTAGTTCGTATAACCTCAAAAATGAGCGAATGGATAGAACAGTTTTAGTCAACGCAAAGATATGAGTGGTGAAATCGTTCCTTCCTCACCTATATCATCAATTTACATCTGAATCCACACTCATACTAACATTTTCAGTTCGAGACATAACTAATTAAAGAACAGAGGGTAATGGAAAAAACCAATCGCAGAAAGGCCAATTGAACATTTGTTTCGTAAGAAAGATTCTATGTTCTAAAGTTCATTCTCTCTTATTTGACATACCAATCATACTAAGTACGAATCGCTTCACTTACCATGACGGAGCAGCGTTGCCTGCAACATAAAATATCCAAGCCACAGCTAGTATAATCGCTGCTGCTATCGCAATTATTCGTTTATCCGGCAGCATCTTACGACGACAAGGAGACCGTTTTTGACTATTTCTGTAAGGAATCAAAAAAGAAAGTCAATTAGAAACATTGTCTAAGTTTCCGGATGCATATAATTAGATTTCAATATTGAGTTTTCTACATTTTAATGAACTCAAAATGGTTTTGCGACATGTAAAGAACTTAATCGAGTCACTACTAAAGTTTTCTCAAAAAAATCAAATTATTTCTCATAAATGAAATAAATACCAGAAGAAAAAGAGTACTCCTACTTATCAGCTACCTTGCGGTATAGATTATTGATCAGAGACAATTTTGAAAGTGCGATATTTTTCCTACAACTATCGCTAGCTGCAGCTCTGAGTAGGGAACTAGCCTGACTCACAGTTATTCCGCTGAATCACTTGAGTTTTCTCTACATATTGATTAACCGCATACTAGTTACAAGGGTTGGTATATGTCACAACGTAGTTAGTATGCTATCGGATGAATGTTTCAAGAGAAGCAATCGTTAGTGACTTGTCTAAGATCATTCCATGTCTGATGGCATCAAGGCCTGAACACAGTATTTTGGCAGTACGTGCCCAACAGCTTAACTGCTCACAAGGGATGACCACCAACTGTTCAATCACTTTTGCATAGGCGATACTGAACTTTTATAAACAAATTTAAATGAATACCGTAACCGCTCTTGGAAATACCAGAAGAACTGATTTTTCACTGGCCTATCAGCTTTTCATAAGTTATAAACAAAAGAGACCTAAACGCAATATCAGTCTTAGAACAAAAACTAACTTTTTCATCTAAAGCCTTCATTCAAACAATGTTTGGATTCGTTCAAGCTTGGATCTTAGAATGGCTTATGTAAATCTTGGTTTGACTTGAGTCTTAAATCAGACGTCGATAGATAGAAATAATTTCACTCTATTTCATTGAACCTTATTCGTTTGTTGTTATCATCATATTCGAAACATTCATATTCCACTAGAGATGTTTTCGTCAAAAACCAACAAAAAATATATTTTTTTCCTTAAATACACATTTCACATAATATCGCTGGAATGTGAGGACAGTCATAATGCGATGTTTTTTTCAAAAAGTTCCCAAAACGTGAGTCTACTGCTTACATGATAATAGCGTTAAAACGTCTTCAACACCGAAACGCCTGTAAATGTGTTTGATATTCAAGTTGTACAGTCAGAAATGATGTCTTTTCTACTTAATTAAACACATTTAGATAAAACTGAGTGAAAATCGATAGAAAATGGCAAAAATATCACTGATAAATATAATGGTACAATTTAAAACGTAGAAATACGAAAAAACAATGAAAAAAAAGTTTAAAACGCATTGTCATCACGATAAAACCCTCATGTTAAAACGTGCTCATGCAGTAAACGAATTTCAAAACGCTAAGCAAACATTAGAGTATCGTAGAAGTGAATGTTGACCGTTTTAGGGCATAATGACGCCACAAGAAACTCAAGTAAAAAATACACCAAGAATTTGATTGAAATCAATTAAAAATACCAAGTTTCGATTAAATTCGATGTAAGATTTGATTTTAATTGATTTTACTCCGTAAAAATCGATTAAAATTGGTTTTTGTTTAGAGAAAACGAAAGAATCGATTACTATGGTTTCTGTAAAAAGAAGTCTGTTAGTGCAGCCTCTTTGAAGCTGAAATGTGGAAGTCATATATGTTCTCTAGCCTCATTAAACTATTATCAAATACATAAAGTGAAAAATCTCTTGTAGACTATAGTTGTTTTGCAGAATAATCATACATCAGAACAAGAGTTCTTTTAATTTCTGCATTTCGAACAGAAGTTTTTTTTTATTTTTTCTACGGGCGCCCTATTTTTTGTTTACATTGTTGCTATTCGCTCGCTGTTTTTCTTAATTTAACATTCTTATTATTATAATCAATGAATTAATTGGCAAATATGTCTATTTTACATATCCATTATATCTACAGCAGATCTTATACACTATTATATATATATTAATCAACTCACAAACAATGATGTTGATTATCTTTCAAAATTATAATTTGATCAATTTTGCAATAAACTATAGAATGTCTGGTGCCTATTATTCTCGATTGTTAAGATCTGTAATGCGGTAGGAAGAGGGGAGCCACGAAAACGTGATCTTAAAACTTACACTCATCATTTTCTTCAAAAATATATGTTCGTTTCACAAAAAATCGATTTTAATCAATTATCCTTTTGTTTAATCGATTACTAGTATAATTGCACCATCTCAGTTATGAAACAATTTATATAGCAGTTCCAAGTTTATTTCATTTGTAGGACTTTAGCTGAGTGACAACTTCATGGTTATTAAACACGAGGAGTCAAAAAAAAAATTATAAAAAATTCGGGTTTCGCATTCGAGTCTTCAGAAAAGCGCTTATCTTCGATATATATGATTAAAATCGAAGAACAACTAAGAATAAATTAAAATTGATTCAAAGGTACTCATGTAAAAAAAATATGAGAAAAACCTGATTTTAATCGATTTATTTGAATATAATTGATTTTTCTGATTTTTAATCAATTAAAATGGCATGACTTGAACCCAATTTCCAATCACAAAAATCGATTTCGAAGGATTTTTTGATAGATTTTTTATGATTAAAAATCCAATTAAAATCACATTTTTACCATCTTTTTTTTTACATGGAAAGTACAAAATTCAGTTTGTTGACTTTGCTCTATAAGTAGACAGACAGGCTACTACCTTTGTTCAACAAAAACGATACGTCAATCCCTACTCGTTACAATAGTCTCGACTTACCACCAAGTGAAAAGAGCAACGAAATAAATAGAAACTAACACAGAGACTGTATAAATAACTATCGCCTATGACAAACATGTTTAATAAAAAGTTAATGTTTATATACAATTCTTATCGATGTTTTTCTTTTACACCCACGCATTGGTGAAACATTTGCCTAACGACAAGCAAGTACTCACTAATCCCTCGTGTTCGATGCTGCCGACCATGAGAAATCTGTCACATTGAAAATGTTTAGATGTTGCCATAGGACAAAGTAAACAATCTCTCTCCGTAGTTTTCGAGTGTGTGTAGATATGAGGAATGGATGTTGAGTGCGCGATGTAAATGAATAAACGAACTGTGGGCGAATGAATTTATTAGAGATGTGTGCATGTGAGTGTATTTACATGAGTGCAGGAGTAAAAATATTTTTCAAAAAGTTGATAATTGAGAAAAACAGCAAAAAATTAAAATGGTTATAACTTGAATTATAACTTTCAACTTCTTAATTTATCGAGCAGATTTAATTAAGTTGAAATAATAATTAATTAAATTTATTAACGTGCTCAATAGACTAGGTAAAAATAACAAGTATTTGTAACGGTTTTTATTTCAGAAAAGTAATATTTTAGAATTCTTCTTTGAGTGCTTTTTAATATATTCATTTACAATCTATATTTTCTTCTATCTATACATCGAACTCGAATACCCATGTAAGATAATATATTTTTTCTTGCAGGACTCATGTTTATCTTTAAATTACGAACAGCTGTGAAAAAAATATTTAAAAAAGAAATCACTTTATATAATTTTAATTCTTTGAAACAGCAATGCTCTTCAATATACAACGTGATCACGTTATTTTTTGCAGTTTTGTTCAGTTTGCTGTACTTATACAAAACCTCAAAAGTTTCTCATTTTAAAACAGTTGGATAGAGCATCGATTACTCTATCAAACTGTACATTTTTCATTTTGTTTACTTTGAATCTTGTTCAAAAATTTGATACATTTAGAAAACCGACATCAACGATTTTTGCATTCAGCAATTTTTAGACCATTTCTCAAGTAGGTTTCTTTTTTTTACTATTTCCTGGGGTACTGAACCTTTTTATTTTTATGTAGAATAATAGACTGTAGTTTCCTCTCCCGAACTATGTATTTTGTATTGGACTTATGTTTTATCTTTAGTATCAACTTGGACAACTTTTTGGAGAAATGTATTCCTGAATTTTTTTCATATATGAACTTTGACTGTTCTTCGAACAAATTTTGATTGTTTAAGCGCTAAAAATTTTTTCTTTGATATATGACTGAAATAGAGCGTCGATTTCTCTATTGATTTATATAGTTTTGATTATATTTACAGTCAGTCTTACGGATGAATTTTTGTGAAAAGTGTTATAAACTTGATTTTTCATAAGTACAAAAGTATACCAAATTTTAACAGAAAAGGTCACTTTTCTCCTTAATTTCGAATCTGTTTTGATTAATACTTTTTTGAACACGGACGTATGATGAATCTGTTCTATTTAAAGCAATTTTCATTATTTTTGAGCTTACTGTTGCTGAAATATGAACATGCAAAAGTTTCGTGTCAGCGCGTCTCTGAATTTATCAAATTTTTGGAGAAGATGCAAAATAAATCAAATAAAAACTATATAGTTCGATAGAGTAAGTGATGCTCTATCCAACTATATCAAAATAAGAAATATCCAAGGTTTTGTATATACCGGGTGGCCCAAAAGTAAGGAAAAATGGTCTTTTTTTTTTCGATTTCTATCTTATAGATTGTTGCTTACGCTTGATATTTATACCACATATACTAGGTGTGATAAATAAAAGATTGAGCATATGAACGATATGTCGATGTAGTAATTCATCCAAGAGCATACAAAAATATAGTGTATGTAAAAAAAAAGAAAGCGAATATTATTGTTTGTTCTCTTATAGTACTTATATGTGTGAGGAGTGGCGTCTAGAAGACAACAATACTAATGATTATCTCTTTTATCGACTGGCTTATTTTTTGTTTCTCTTTACATTTTCTGTTGTTTGTATAACTCTAACTTTTTTCACATTTTCTTCATCATGAGTAAAAGTTTTCGTTTGTCGTTACGTGAAAAAACTGAAATTGTGAAATGGTACGTCATTCACCAAAATGCAGCTGAAGTTGCTCGTCAATTTCAAAATCGTTTTGATCGTACTCCTCCAACATCAAAGAATATTTTGAGTCTT